TTCTTTGCCATAATTGAGTCATACATTCAGGCTGTAAAAGAAACAGTATTATTTAACGCCAACAGGAGAGGGAAGTGACATTATATATTATGTTTTAAATATGCATTGTAGGAGTAAGGTGTTTTTTTTCCATTTAGCAATGTCTTAAATTTTGAAGAAGTTTGACTAATTTAAAAATGAATGTATCCCATCAACCATTGCGAAACTAAGGTACGGCATTCACATAAAATAATCACTACTCACGCGTGAAGTTTGACATATTTCATATTTGTCTGTATCAGTTTCTGGTTTCATCAAGCACTCGGCTAAGCTCATTTTGTCAGATAGCTTACACTGTAAACACTTGCTAGCTGTAAGCGAGAACATATATCATATGAGATCGTTTTATTGTAGCCGACACGACAATGCAAGTTGAAGTAAGTCAGTATGCATTTACAGAGATATATTTGAAAATTCAACGCGGGCTCGCACGATAAGTATTGAATTATTACTAAAAGCAACAGCACAATCAATACAAATATAATGATAACATTAAGAAAATGGTGCACAACCTTGTCCCTGGCCGGGTACCATGAGGTCGTGTGGGTTTCCTTCCGCACGCTTTACAACTTTCGCTGTAGATTGACAGACAATCTGGAAACAAGAAAAAAAGATAAATAACTGCACTGCAGGTAGGTATCGGTATTGTTGAACGATGACGTGAGAATATCAGCATACATAGCAAAAACTGAAATAGTGAAAACAATCCAAAAAATAGTAGTGTTACACCATTTATCTATAGATATTGAGAGACATTTTGAACCACATCACATTTTTTGCCTTGCAGTTTTGTCGGAAACCAAGACATTTTTCAAACCCATAATCACAATTATAGGAAACAGTAACACGGAATGGCAACAAATTCAATGAAAATATGAATGAAGTTGAATACAACTTTTCAACATAGTGTGTGGTTCCAATCTAAAGAATATGGTTACGTTATTACATAGAATTCACAATACACAATTAAATATATATATATTCAGTCAATTGATGGAGTGTTGACACAAACGGAAGAAGCGCTAATTAACGGCTTGAAAAAAGTGACAATATTACGTATGGCTGTCAGTAAATCCAAGGTAAAGTTAACAATACAACGCAAAGACAACGAGGCGGAACTAAATGATATGAATGTTACATACGCAAATATGGCGAGACTATAGTGACGATGAAGCGATCTGCAATATGAATGTTACTACCACAAATGTAACGAGGCTAATGATGATGAAACAATCCGCGATATGAACGTTATTTGCAACAAGGATGACGAGACTGGTGACGCTGAAACGATCTGGGATATGAATGTTACTTACCAAAAAGATGACGAGACTGGTGACGCTGAAACGATCTGGGATATGAATGCTACTTACCACAAGAATGACGAGACTGGTGACGCTGAAACGATCTGGGATATGAATGTTACTTACCACAAGGATGACGAGACTGGTGACGCTGAAACGATCTGGGATATGAATGTTACTTACCATAAATGTAACGAGGCTGGTGACGATGAAAAATCCGCAATATGAATGATCCTTGCCACAAGGATGACAAGACTGGTCACGATGAAACGATCTGCGATATGAACGTCACTTACCACAATTGTAACGAGGCTGGTGACGATGAAAAATCCGCAATATGAATGATCATTGCCACAAGGATGACGAGACTGGTCACGATGAAACGATCTGCGATATGAACGTCACTTACCACAATTGTAACGAGGCTGGTGACGATGAAAAAATCCGCAATATGAATGATCCTTGCCACAAGGATGACGAGACTGGTCACGATGAAACGATCTGCGATATGAGTTTTACTTACCACAAGGATGACGAGGCCCGGCACGGTGAAACGATCTGAAATTCGGACATTACTTACCGAAATAATGACAATGATGGACACGGTGAACCAATATGATATTATGAGAGTTCTTGTAGCAACATTGACGAGTACACTAACAAAATCTGGGATAGCAATAATACTCACACAAAAATGACGAGACGAACGGACGAGACAGGACAGGAATTGAAATATGAACGTTCTTGCAGCAGAATAGCAAAGATGGACACGATAAAACAATCTGAGACATAAACGTTACTTACCGCAAAGATGACGAGGCTGGACACGATGAAACGACCCATGATTGACAACGATGTGCTGCGAGTCGATGCCGGTTCTAATGAGAATAATTGTTGATAATCCATGTTATATGGGATATGGTCTGGCAGAGCGTGCCAAAAATGTGTCAATCAAAGTCTGTCCCGGGTTTTTGCCTAATTTAAATATATAATTTATGAATGCAAATGGCAAGGACTCCCACTCGGTTTGACCCGGCAATTTATAACCAGTGTCACTTAATTATTTAGCAACTATCCTGTCAATATAAGATTGTGTGACCCGAATTTCCTAAATACAGTGGCATAGCAGTATACAGTGGTCATGTTTGAAAAGTTTGTGGAAGCAGAACAAATTAATTGAAAATATTTTGGGAAATACAGACATATGAATTAATCACAACAACTTTACACATAATATTTTGATTATTAATGTGTGTGATTAATAAAATTTGTGTGACTAAATCTGAGTGTTTTGAGCTTAATGTCACAATCTATAAATCTATAACGAGCTTTAATTTTAGGCGTAACAAAAATACAGTCGCTATGCATGGTGGGTAAAATCCTCTAATTCTTTCAACCAGCAATGTATAAGAACGGGCGCATATTATAAATCACCGAGGGATATCATAATATAAGGACGGGAACATCATATAAAGGAATTATGACATCATATAATGGCGTGACTCTCAGAACAGAAGGACGGTATAGAAAGATATAGTGAAGTTAGGAGACAAGGCACGATGAAACGTAAAATAAAATAGAACGGCGTTTCATGTAATTCAATTGAACCACTACACAAGTTTATATCGCAGGTTACAGAGACTCACATGTGTGATGTATCACATTGGCAGCTTTCCGTCCTTGTTTGGGGATGACGAACGCAAGTCAACTCTCGTAAACTTTTGACCCGATTCATTTATAGTGTCAATGGGTCATATGTGAATATCAGGTGGATATATAGCGTTTGCAGTGTGGGACTAAATCGTTGAGATCGGTGCCATATATTAATATGTAGAACGATTTCTCTTTCCTGTGAATTTTGTTCACGTTTATGTATGTCTTCTCGGACAGTCATAGTCGTAAACGTCGTAAATGTATT